CCAGGCTGGACTCGAACTCACAGAGATCCACCTGGCTCTGCCTCCCGAGTGCTGGGATTAAAGGGGTGTGCCACCACTGCACCATCTTCTGGCCCCTGTGGATACCAAGTGTACTGTATACACACACACACACACACACACACACACACACACACACACACACACACACAATTAAAAATAAAATCTTTAAAAAAAATAGGTATTCCATGAACTAAACTTCTCAATTTAGGCCAGGTATGGTGATGCATTCCTGTAATCTAAGCCCTCAGGAAGAGGAAGCAGGAAAATATCAGTTCCATCCAGACCAACCCTGGCTAAAGGTGTGACTATCTCCAAACAACAACAAAACAAAAATCAGGCACACCTTTAACTCTAGCATTTGAAAGGCATAGAGACTGGGTGATCTTTGTGAGTTCCAGGCTAGCCAGGGCTACACAATGAAACCCTGTCTCATAAAACAAAACACAAAGAAAACCTCAATTTAAAGAAACCAAATATATCCAGTCCTAGAAAAATGATTTAAATAAATGCACAAAAATGAAATTCTGCCTGTTAAGAAACAAGATATTTTGATTTTTAAACATATTTGACATGGGGCTGGAGAAGTGGCTCAGTGGTTAAGAGCACTGGTTGCTCTTCCAAAGGACTTGGGCTCAATTCCCAGCACCCACATGATGACTCACAACCATCTGTTACTCCAGTCCTAGGGGATCAATCTTCTCTTCTAGCCTCCAAGAGCATGGAGGTAGTGCACAGACATACAGCAGGCTAAACATGAATACACATAAAATAAAAAAACTTTTTTTGGTTTTTTGAGACAAGGTTTCTCTGTGTAGCTTTGTGCCTTTCCTGGAACTCACTCTGTAGACCAGGCCGGCCTTAAACTCACAGAAATCCGCCTGCCTCTGCCTCCGAGTGCAGGGATTAAAGCGTGCACCGCCGCCGCCACCACCACCTGGCAAAATAAAAATGTAAAAACAAAACAAAAAGCACTCTTGGCACAGTTATTAACACAAACCAAGTCTGGCAAATCTACAAGCAAAGCACAGCCAAGCTATTGTTCGGTTCCAGTTCTGCTGCTCTTCTGTTGCTTTGAGGGAGGATTTCACTCTGTAGCCCAAGATGGCCTCAAACTCATAAGTAAGCCTTCTGCCTCAGCTCCTGGGAGCTAAAATCACAGGAATACTGGATCTAAAACATTTTTTTAAGAAACAGGATTTTGCCAGGCTGTGGGTGGGGAACGCCTTTAAATCTCAGCCTTTGGGAGACAGAGGCAGGGGAGGGGGATCTCTGAGTTTGAGACCAGCATGACCTACAAAGTAAGTTCCAGTACAGCCAGAGCTACACAGCGAAGCCCTGTCTTGAAAAAAACAAAAAATAATTAGTTTTTGCCAGGCATGGTGGTGCACACCTTTAAACCCAGCACTGGGCAGCAGGAGGCAAAGGCAGGCAGACCTCTGTGAGTTCAAGGCCAGCCTAGTCTACATAATGCATTCCAGGACAGCCAGGAATATCAATGTAGAGAGAACCTGTCTCAAAACAAAACAAAACCACAAACAGGTTTTTCACAGTGCTGGCCAAGGCATCTTCCTGACTCAGCCTCTTGACTGCATACAGGTGTGCACCATTCAGTCTAACTACTCTAAATACAATGTTACTTCAGAACCTGAAAGGTCCAGCTGGAGCAGTGCAGCAGGTAAGAGCAATTACTACTCTTTCCAACACCCACATCTGAAAGGTACTGAACATAATTCTAGCTTTAGGGAATCCGATGCCCTCTTCTAGTCTAGGCAGGCACCTGCAGATGCATGGCATATACTCACACAGACACATTCATATAAATAATAAAAATATATCTTTAAAAAAAAACCCTTAAAGGACCATTTTAGTAAGAAGTAAAACTGAGACACAGAGTACATATAATTTTTCTTGAGGCCAAAAAATGTTTAATTTTAACCAAATGATTCAATCATTTTTGCCCATTCAATAGTGCTAGCATCTATTACCAAAAAAAAAAAAAGTACAAAGGTGTTTTGCTCTTACTAGCATTATAATGGTTTGTTGGAAAATGCTGGCAATCTTCACACTACTACTCAATATCAGGGACTGGTGGTGTGTGTGTGTGTGTGTGTGTGTGTGTGTGTGTGTGTGTGTGTGTACACATATGCACAGGCCAGAGGTCAATGTCTGGTGTCTTCCTCTATGGCTCTCACTAGTTTCTGAGACAGGCCTTCTCACTGAACCTGGAGCTCACTGACCAGCAAGCCTTAAGAGACCCTCCTGTCTCCCCAGCATGGACCAGAACATGCGTTTTTTATGCAGATGCTTCAGAGCAAAATTCAAGTCCCCATGCTTTCCATGATAAGCAATTAACAAACAGCCGTATCTCTGGCCCCTCCATGATTGGTGAAATTTTGGATTATATTTCTTTCCAATCACCCTCCCCAAGACTTTTTTGTTGTTGTTTTTCAAGACAGGGTTTCTCTGAGTGCTTGGCTGGCCTGGACCTCAATCTATAGACCAGGCTGGCCTGGAACTCACAGATCCTCAGAGTGCTGGGATCAAAGGTATTCGCCAATATAAGACCTAATCCCCTTTTAAGGTGCTAATTAGTAAAGACTAATCATTTTCAATAGCCAGATACAATGCCACATAACTGTAATCTCACTTGCCTGGGAGGCAGAGGTAAGAAGACCATTTGAGTCAGGGGTTCAACAACACTCTGGGCAATGTAGAAAAACCTCAAGTCTCAAAATAAATAAGGAAAAAAAGTTTGTATTCAGATGAAATAAACTCCTGAGAATTCAAGACAAGAATTTAAGGGAGACCCCAGAATCCACATAAAGGTGAATGAGAGAACGGACTTCACAAGGTTTTCCTCTGACCTCCAGACATAAACCAGGCACGCAAGCTCAAGTGCACCGGCTCTTGCACACTTACATGCACACACACACACACACACACACACACACACACACGATTATTTTAAACATTAAAGGGGAATCTAGATTATCTTCTCTGAGTGAGTTTGGATAGAAAGCCTCACAATGAAATAAGGAACTGTCAAGGCAGAGGGCCTCTCCAAGTGCCAACTACAGCATCTCCTGTCCTGCTCACCGTTCTCAACCTACAGAACTAAGGCCCTTGCAAAGCATTTCCTTTGTTAAAATAAGCGCTAGAATGGAAAGAAATAAGATATGAGTATGGTAGCAGGTAACCCTAGCACCTGGAAGGTGGAGGCAGGAGGATCGGGAGTTCAAGGTCATCCTCACCAAACAGCATATTCTGAGACAAGCAGAAGCTACGTAAGAGAAAACTTGAGAAAACTAAAATTGCACCTTAATATTACATTAATATCAATATTCTTGGAAGACCCTTTTGAAGTCATGTGAGAGCCTTGCACACTGAAGCCTCTCATCAGGACTAAGAGTGTAGCTCCACAGGGAATGTACTCAGCATGAGCGAGAGACTTGGGCACCACCCTGAGCACCATCCGGGAAAAGCCCCTAACCCAGACAACAAAACTCCTAAACACAATCTAAAGGTTTCATGGACCTCCTTGAACTGTCGAGAACAAAAGTTCTTGCTATAACCTTGCGATATGTTTTCAATAATCCCATTTCCTTGGGACATGACAGAACCCACCCCCAACATCTGAAAGGTAAAGAGTAGCAAATTGAAGGCTCCAGCTGTACCAGATTCTACCTTGGTCAAATTGCCAGTCTATCATCTGTCATCAGGAATCAAAGGATTCCTTTTCTTTCCTTTTTTGAGACAAGAACATGTACATAACCCAGCCTGAGCTGGAACTCCCAATCCTATAGCCCAGCCTTGGTGCTGAACTTACAAGCTCTCACCACCACGCCCAGATTTTCTCTCACAACAGAGCCTAAAAGCTTATGAACAAATCACTTCACAAGTGCCTGGTAAGCCTGTCAGACAGCAAAGGCTCCTGAACGCGCACTCTCAGCACCCCTTTCTACCCTTCCTACTGCTGTGGACACAGACTACATGAGAAAGCAGCAGAAACAGGGCACTTTCTCCAGTCAATATTCCTGTCCGGAGCACTTCCTGGATTTTTCATTGGCATTTAATACCAAGGTACAAGACTCATTTTTCATTAAAGTTGCAAGACTTTCGCTTTGCCCAGTTTCAAATGGTGTAATTGATCTGCATTGTCTTCTTAAATAACCCGACTGGTGAAGGACACTGCAGCTTTAAATATTTCAGTGCTAGCTAGCACATAGACTCCATTGCAATATGGCTCTGAAGGTCGTGTCCTATTGTCTGTCTCCTGGAAAAAAAACCTAAATCCTTCTTTTAAGTAACATGGGAATAGTCCCCCTAGAATTTCCACTCTTCTACTTCCGTCCCTTATAGTTCAGGGTGTTTATTGGAATCTCACACTCAATTTTCCTGGCAAGGGCCATATGCTGATTATTAGTGATTCCAGCGCCTGAGTGAGACATAAACACATGTGTTCACATTAGTTTAGTTGAGCATCGGCAACTATTTGAAATAGCACCACTCAAAGGCTGTTAACCGCTTTAAGAGTAAAGCCAGGGTGGTTTGGGCGTGGATGGCTTTCCGGCACCTTGAGCCTAGGATTGCGTAACCTGAAAATGTGTAGCTACTTAAAATGATAGGAATCTCAGCATACTCCTCCTGGGACTACTCCCGCACCTGGCTGTACAATTGAGGCTTCATTTGTCAAAGAAAGCCAAAATAAGAAGCACAAGCACAGTGAAGGAGAAAATGAACTGGAAGAAAAAAAGGCCCTTTTCTGCCTGCCAGCAGTCACAATGTTCCCCCAACCTCACACCCCACCCCCACCCACATTGGGTGGAATAGTCCCAATGAACCCAAGATTTGAAGGAAGCTGTAATTTGCCATCCATTCTAAATAACAGCGGGTGGAGCGATTAAAAAACAAAACAAAAAACCGGGAAGAGGGGTGAAACAGGCGGGAGGAAGGCGTGTGCAAGAGCACAGGGGTATTACCTGAAAAGGCAACAGATTGTTACCATTATCGGTCCGGAAAGCGTTATCCTCCATCCAGGATTTGGAGGTGAGCGGGGCCGCACGAGGGAACTTGGGTGGCGCGATCACATTGCTGGAGAAGGGCTTCTTGAGCGGCGAGATGGGGTTAAGTGGGGAGGGTACCCCCACACCCACGCCCACGCCCACGCCGACAGCGCGGCGAGGGTCCCGGCCAGCCTGTAGGCCACCCCACGGGTTGGACGGGGCACTCCAGGCGGCGTTCACGCTTTGGTGCGTGTTCCAGCTGGACGAGGCCGAGGAGGCGGCGGCCGCGGCAGCGGCGGCTGCAGCGGCCGAGGATGAGGACGGCTTGCTGGTCATGATGGGTTGGTGGCCGTAGGCGGCGGCGCTCCTCTGCGCATAGGGCGCCTGGCTGGGGCTGGCGGGCGAGCGGCGTTGCTGCGAGGGCTGCGCCTGCGGGGGCTGCGCGGGCTGCGGCGGCTGCGGCGCGGGCGGCGGCGGCTGCTGGTGGTGCTGGGTCTGCGCCAGGCCGATCTGCGGGGAGAAGGTGCCTCCGAAGACCGGGTTGACGTGGTGCGGGAAGTTTTGGAAGAGCATGGTCCCGTTGACCGGGGTGATCCCCTGGAAGAAGCTGTCCTCTACCGCGTTCGTCGTGCCAGTGGACCAGGTGCTGCCAAAGGACGGCGACAGCGACGCTCCGGGCGCCGCGGGCTCCTGCGGCGGCGGCGGCGGCTGCTGAGGGGGCTGATGGAAACTCAAGCCCGGCAGGAGCGGCGACTCCATCTGCATCTTGTCGGGGCCGTTGGGGGCTGGCGGGGCCGAGGCGGGGCTGATGGCCGGCACTGCGCTACTGTCTTCGGGCTTGGGGGTCTCTGAGGAGAGGGGCGTGGACGGGGCTTCGGCTGCGCCGGGCTCGGGCTGGAGCTGTTGCTGCTGCTGCTGCCGCTGCTGCTGCTGAGACTGGGGCTGGGTTTTGCTTTTGTCCATCAGTAAATCATCCTGCATGGTTTGCGCAGCTGAAATGGGAAGAAAGAGAGATGCGTTATTGTCAGTGTGATCATGAATGCCCTCACTGAAGCGGGCGGGTGTTTTACTTGCGAAAATCCAGTGCCACCGCCACTAGCCAATTGCAATGCAAATCCATAAGCTCGCATTTAGAAGAGCAGGTCGGGCTGGAGGGGGGTTGGGGGATAGGAGGGCTCGAACAAGGTCTCTAAAAACACTCTGAGAGCGTCTTCACCCTTTCTGACGTCTCTGTCCCTTTTCTGTACTAGTGAGAGATGTGCTTATAAGACAGAAAGACAGCAATTTCGCCACGTCTCTTTCCCCTTCACCGGAACTCCGAGCGTTCATCCTGCGATGAGAAACTGATTCTGGTTCCTGTTTTTTTCCCAAGCACCACCCTCCCCCAGCTATTTGCATACGTCAATAAATAGTGCTGCGTCCTTCAGCAAGGTTAAAAAGACGTGATACACGACCCTCTCTTTTCCCCTTCCCCAGCTGGAGCACTTAAAAAAAAAAAGAAAAGAAAAAACAAGAAAAAGACAACCCTCTTGATTAGCAAACTGCCTTCTTGCTGCGGATAATTGTTTCATTTGGCTGCAGCGAACCACGAGAGAGGAAATCTTAGGCATTTGTTGGAAGAACTCAGCTGCACAATCATTCTCTGGCCGCTCAGTAGCGGCAGCTACTCCATTTTGTTAGGAGACGTTTTAATATAAAAGAAAACCCAGTTTTTAAAAAAGAGGAAAATCGCCGGGCGTGGTGGCGCATGCTTGTAATCCTAGTACTCGGGAGGTAGAAGCAGGAGGATCAAAAATTCAAGGTCAGCCTTGACTACTTAGCCAGTTCGAGTCCAGCCTAGTATAAATGAAAAAAATATGACTCAAAAAGAAAAAAGAAAGAAAGGAAAGGAAAAAAAGAAAGAAAAGAAACCTACTGAAACGTTTAGACGTGTTTGCTTCTTATTACTCTAAGGATTGTGGTTTTTCTGCTTATTCTCCAATTTTCTCGTCTCCAATTCACCGCCCAAGAGATTTCCTGGCTTCTTGGCGTTTCAGGTCTCAACGGGAGCCTGAGAAATTCTCTGCAGAGTGGAGAAATGCTTCTGGTTGGATTTGAGGTCAGAGGGAGGGAGGTGGGGAGAGAGGAGAAGGGAGGGAGTCTGTGAGATGGAGTGGGGGCGGGACTTTAAAAATGCATCTGAGATTTAAGTAGACAGTCAAGATAATTCCGGGGTTGCCAGATTTTCATTTTTGAATCCTCCTGCTGCTGCCTCGGTCACAAGACTGGCAAATTTAGAATCCATTCTTTTATCACTAGTATTAACAGTGAAAGACTATGGTTTGACGACCCTGAATTACCATATGCTAGCAACTGTTAAAAATAGAGGAGTACAAAGTCCCAAATTCTCATCCATTGTAATTATAGTACATTACCCTCACTGCTTCATTTAGCCATATAAGGAGTGTATGGTATTTTCCACTTCACATACAAGAGCTATATTCACCTCTGTCATACAACCTGTTTTCTTACTCAAGGATGAAAACAGTAATCACTCAAAACCAAAAGATTTCCATGTGTGTAGTTATCACTGAATTAGCTTGTCACAGAATATGTTAATTGCTTTAAATATCTGAATATTACAGGGCTGAGACCTTGAAAACAAATATTTTGAAATGTTAAAGGAGCTATGACCAAACATATAATTATTTTTAGATGATTCAGTACAATTGCAACAAAGTTATTAATATATTTAATACAGTTAATTAATTCATATACTGGAAAAGCATCTTTCTTGGGACATTTGTAAAAGGGCATTCAGATACACACAACTCTGCCATTGGACTATTCAAGATAACTCTTAAAATGGAGGTATCTCTCTTAACTATTACACAAAGGCTATCAGACAAGAAGTTGGATTAACTATTCTGTTTTATTAAAACTATCATTAAGAGATACCATCTTTCATTTAAAGTTTCATATACAAAGAGCACAGTGGGCTTAGGGAAATATTTCACTTCTCAAACACCTTATTTGCCTTTTTATTCCTCTCTTCCCTGCCTAGTCCCCTCCCCTAGAAAAAAGCCCAGCCCAGGATAATATAACATGCACCAGGGATTGCCTGCAACTGTCAATGTAGCTTGCTTTAGATTGCTTTTATGTTCCTCGGTTCCCTCTATCTAAAACAATGGCTTTGATTAGTATTATGAATAGTGCACAGGGAGAGTGAACCTTGGATTCAGACAGCACAAAGTTCCATCACTACCAAAGAGGATGGTCACAGAGACATTTTCATACTTCCTTCTTACAGTGCTGCAGGAGACCATTATACTTCTGGAATTTGAGTGTTTTGGTGAGCTAGAATTTTCTTTACAATAGCTGTATCATGGCTGAAATATGTATTGGATTATAATTTTAGTATCATCCAGCTTTTCTTATTGTTTGTATTCAACACTTTTTGTTAATGCCTTTAGCTTAAACTGCATGCTCTTGATGGGAAAAAATGCTGTACTTTACCCCCCAACCCAGCCAAAAAGTAACCTAGACCCAGAATATTTTATAATGGCTTTAATTAATAGTAATACTACCTCATTAAATTCTCAATGTTATAACAAAACACTCCTTTCTTTTCCCAATGCTCTTTAAAAATAATACAAATTTCACTTAATGTATAAATTCACTGTCAAGGTCAAGACCCACCTTTTAATAAATAAGATATTTTAAACAAAAGCTAAGTCAGCAATTAAGATAAAATTTACAAAGTCAATATGCAGTATCCTTAAATAACTGCCTGTATAATTTGCTTTGGAGGGGTTTTTGCTTATATATAGCAAAGTCTGAGAAATAGATGCCTGTTCCCCTCCCCCACCACACACAATAGATCGGCTTTTACATGCAATAACCCAATTTCAGGTAATAAATTCATAGCAGCAGTTACCTTTAAGTGTCCAGTTTTTAAGGATCGATAAAATTGAAAAATGAACAGTATTTATTTCTTCTTTCGGAGTGATTATGTGACCGCTCTGGAAAAGCACTTTGACAACTGTAAGAAGAGTGGGCATGCGCACACAGAGGACTGTGGGGGCTGAAGTCCTTCACAAGGTACTCTGCCCGGCTTCAGCACGTTCAACCGGGAAAGGAGGAAGCCTCGTAAATACAGATTCCAAGGGGGAGAGGTTGTGCCCGGATTATATTATAGCCTCCTAACCAATCTAAATCGGGAGTTGTTGAAATAAAAGAAGGAAAAATAAACTGGGTTGTCAACTTGATTTAGGAAGCAAGGCTAAAAGAGAAAGTAGATTGTAGGACTGTGAATAAATAGATCCAGCTGAGCTACCTTAAATGGTATTATGATGGTAATGGCTGGGTAGCCAGCAACAGGAACCCTACTAGAAAGAAAGAGATTAGGGTGTGGAAGAAAAAAAATAGACGGAGAATTACTGGAGAATGATAAACACTTAAAACCCCCACCCCCAGTTGCTTTGTTCTGTTTTGAGACATTGGGAGACAAGGTTTCCCTACATAGCCCTGGCTAACCTGGATCCTCTGGCCTCATCCCCCACCAGCTGGGGTTATAGATATGTACTACCATATTTGCTTAAAGAAAACACTTTTAATACTGAATTTTAAAAGTACCTTAATACTAAATGTGCTACTGACCTTGGAGGTAAAAATAGGTTTTAATCGAAAATGTTTGACCTTTTACCTACCAGAACTGACCGACTGAGACAGGAGCTCCCTATGTACCCACTAGATGACTTGGAACTGGCTATGTAGATCAAGCAGGCTTTAAAACTGCACCAATCCTCCTGTCTTTGCTTCCCCAGTGCCACCACACCCAGTTCAGGATTTCTTTGTATTTGAATCTTTACTGGATGAGCAAAGCTCACTTCATAATCCCAGCACTAGTAAGGCTGAGGCAGCAGAATGGCCGTGAGTTCTGGAACAGCCTGGGCTATATACAAACCAAAAATGGGCTAGGGAGATAGCTTAGATGATAAAAGTCCTTACTCAATGAGTGTAAGAACCTGAGTTAGATCCCCAGAACCCATTAAAAAAAACCTAAGCATGGCAGCATCACACCCTTATAAACCCAAAGGTGAGGGTGGGAGGAGGTGAGAGGGGGAACAGGTGGGTCCCTGGACCGCTCAGTCTCAAAAAATTTAAAAATAGGGAGGTTGTAAGGGTGGTGGGCAGATATGAAGGAACTGGGAGACGGATAGGATCGGGATGTATGATGTGAAACCTATAAAGAATCAAAAAGTCTACTGCTGTATCACCATGACCTCGACAGATCTCCTCTGATCTAAGCAGGGATTGGTTAATATTTGGCTGGGAGACTGCCTGAGATAACTAGGTACTGTAGGCTCCTGGCCTCCCCTTGTTTCCGTTTTGGCCACGACAGAGGGCCACTGCATCATGCCCTCACCCATCTCCACCACAGGAAAAAAATTAGCAGACTGTTCCTCAGGAAGGACACCTGAGTTGGACCTCTGGCTTCCGCTTGTACTTATTCACACATGCACACACACACACACACACACACACACACACACACACACAGACACACTTACATACACCCATGCAAAAAAATTCTACCTGTATGTTCTGAGTCAACTCACCTTATTTTTGCCTGATAAAATGAAAGTCTACCTTGCATTACTGATATAGTGATCAAATAAAATTCAACTCTTTCACTGAAAAATAATATTTTATATTAATTAGTAAATAACTTAAAACTTTAAGAGAATAACTGCATTGGACAATGACTTCTTTGTTTAAGATAAAAGAATACATATAGTTTCTACTTGGGGGAAATTGTACAGAAACATATTTGGTTGTTTTTGAAACTGGAGGTCATTTAGCCCAGACCCTTCTGTCTCTACCTCCCAAGTGGTGAGATTACAGGTGCTCCCACACCCAGCCTTTTATTTTTTATTATTAAACTTAGTATATGATTGTCCCTATTTTAACATAATGATCTCAGGCTGACTCTCACAACCTATTAACATCAACCGTCATTATGTATAGCTCCTGAAAGCAATAACTCAAGAGCTAAGTTTGCTCACGTAGGCAGAAGATAGTGTTTCTTGTGGGATCTGGTTCCATGCCATTCACCCATGGGGTTCAGAGTAAATGTCAGTTGATGACTATGCTGACTGAACTTAGAATTGAAAATGTTAAGCATCATTTACAACTGTCTTAATTTTCTGTTTTCCTTTCTTAAAGTCAGAAGGAAAGTTTATCAGAAAGTACCAATTTGCATTTTTTAGTAGTCTTTGTTTCTAGTTATTTTTTTCTTCTGTCCTTCCTTTTAGTTTTTGTTCTGGTGAGTTTTGTTTTGTTTGAGACCACATCTAGTTTATGCAGTGCTGGGATTACAGGGGTGAACCATCACATCTAGTTTATGCAGTGCTGGAATTATAGGGGGGTGTCACCACATCTGATTTGTGCAGTGCTGGGATTACAGGGGTGTACTGCTGTGGAATAATGCTTTTGTACACTGGTTTAATAAAACACTGATTGGCCAGTAGTCAGGCAGGAAGTATAGGTGGGATAAGGAGACAAGGAGAATTCTGGGAAGAGGAAGGCTGAGTAAAGAGATTCCAGCCTGCAGTCCAGGGAGCAGCATGTAATGGCACACAGGTAAAGCCACGAAACCATGTGGCAACATATAGATTAACAAATGGGCTGAGTTTAAGTGTAAGAACTAATCAGTAGTAAGCCTGAGCTAATGGCCAAGCAGTTTTAATTAATATAAGCCTCTGTGTGTTTATGTGAGTCTGAGCGGCTGTGTACTGGGCAGGACATAGGAAAACTTTCAGCTGCAGTGTACCACCACATCTAGTGTATGCAGTGGTGGGATTACAGGGGTGTGTCACCACATCTGGTTTATGCAGTGCTGGGATCACAGGGGTGTGTCACCACATCTGGTTTATGCAGTACTGGGATCACAGGGGTGTGTCACCACATCTGGTTTATGCAGTGCTGGGATGAACTCAGGGTTTCATGCATGCTATGCAAGCACTCTTTCAACTAGACTACATCCTTAAGCTGTATCCAGTTATTTCTTCCTTTGAGTTTTTGTTTTTGTTTTTGTTTTCAAGACAGGGTTTCTCTGTGTAGTTTTAGTGCCTGTTCTGGATCTCACTCTGTAACCAGGCTGGCCTCGAGCTATCTTTCTCTGTGTAATAGTCTTGGCTCCTGGCTGGCCTCGAACTCACAAAGATCTGCCTGGCTCTGCCTCCCAAGTGCTGGGATTAAAGGCGTGTGCCACCACTGCCCATCTTACTCACTTCAAAGTACAGTAAGTGTCCGGTGAGTATGAGTAGTGCTCATAATCACCTACCAAGGTCAACACCAAAGTTTATCTTTTTCTAGCCTATGAATTACCAGTAGATCTGTACTTGGAGTCAGCTGGATTAATAAATGTTCAAGTAAACCATTTCAAACATACACCTGAATAATAAACAAAACAAAACAAAATGGATAAAAATCCTTTTGGGGGGAGGGGAGGTAGGGGGCTAGGTAGCAAGGTCTCCAAGGCTAGAGCTAGTGTGAATCCTCCTGTCTCAGCCTCTGAAGGGTTGGGATTGCAGGTACACACCTCTATATCTATCTTCTACTTAAATGGTTAAGTTCCCCCCCCCAAAAAAAAAATAACTGGAGGGCTGGGTGGTGGTGGTGCACGCCTTTAATCCCAGCACTGAGGGTGGGGGGAGTGGGGCACAGAGCCAGACAGATCTCTGTGAGTTCGAGGCCAGCCAGGAGCCAAGACTGTTACACAGAGGAAAATAGCTCCGACAAAAATACCAAAGAATACATACCAGGCAAACATAGGAGGGCCCTCAACAAGGACAAAGGCTCTCTATTTGGTTGGTGTGTGTGTGTGTGTGTGTGTGTGTGTGTGTGTGTTATTCATATCTGCATGTGTAAACACACATGTAAAAGTCAGAGGGTGATGACACTGTTTCTTGTTTGGTTGGGTTTTTTTTTTATTAATTTTTTATTTTATGTGCATTGGTGTTTTGCCTGCCTGTATAACTACGTGAGGGTGTCAGATCTTGGAGTTACAGACAGTTGTGAGCTGCCATGTGGTTGCTGGGAATTGAACCCATGTCCTCTGGAAGAACAGCCAGTGCTCTTAACCACTGAGCCGTCTCTCCAGCCTGGTTGGGTTTTGCTGTTGTTCTCCACTTTATATTGAGGCAGAATCTCTAGCTCACACTTGAACCTAAGATAGCTGATTCTGCTAGTCCAATTAGCCTCCTTGGTCCAAGACACCATCTCTGTCCCCTAAACTCCAGGAGCACAGGCAGAACCACCTTCCTAGCACCTCATTTTGTGTTTAACCAAAATAGCCAAATACATTTTTTTTGAGACGGGATCTCTGTAGCCCAGGCTGGCCTTGAACTTAAACCCTCTTGCCTCTGCCTCCCAGGCATGAACCACCACACCAACTCATGTATACCTTTTTGGGCTAATTTCCTTTCGTTACTAGCACTTCTATGATACTGCTTATAAACATAGACAGTGTGAGGTTTTCCATAGGTATGATTTTTCTCTCTTTCTTTCTTTTTTTATTTTTTGGTTTTTTTGGGGGGGTTTGTTGTTGTTGTTGCTGTTTGTTTTTCGAGACAGGGTTTCTCTGTGTAACAGCCCTGGCTGTCCTGAAACTTTCTTTGTAGACCAGGCTGGCCTCAAACTCACAAAGATTCCCCCTGCCTCTGCCTCCCAAGTGCTGGAATTAAAGGCATGTACCACCATCAGCTGGTTTTCTTTCTTTCTTTTGAGATGTCTCACTATGCTGTTCAGGTTAGTCTCAAACTTATGGGCTCAAGAAATACTCCTGCCTCAACTTCCAGCAACAGCACTGGTAATATAGTGGTGAACACAGCTGCCTTCCAAGTATTAAGGACAGGTATGCACCCATTCCTAGCTCAATATATAAGAGATGAATGAATGAAAAGATGGGCTTACTGATAAAGGATATCTTTTTATTATCTAAAGCAGCCAAGATTCTAGTATAAACTATACTTCACTTAGAAGGACTGGGTATCTACCACAGTCACAGTCACAAGCCTATAATCCCCAACACCTGGGAGGTGGAGGCAAGAGCATCAGATGTTCAAGGTCATCCTTAGCTACATACTAAGTTCCTGGACAGCTTAGGCTACATGAGACCCTGTCTCAAAAAACAAAGAAAATTAAACAACAACAAAAATATGACACCAATGTGAAAGGGACCACCCGGAAAGAAAGTGGCCAGAGAGGAGAAAGAACAAGGAAGGGTAATAAGTAGGGCATATATAGTCAAAGTACATGCTACATGTGTATTAAAATGGACAATAAAGCCCATTGTTTTGAACAATGAATATATACTAATTTTTGAAGTATTAAAGTTTAGAAACATATCCAGAATTGAGTGTATTTTCAGTGGTGCAGTGTTTACCTCATGCGTGCAAGGCCCTGGAATGGATCCCCAGTACCAAAGGGAAAAAAGAAAAAAAAAACCAGAGGAATATCTTCACAGCATTAAGGTAAACAACAATTTACTTGTTGAGTACTGAGGATTGAATCCATGGCCCACACACATTAAACACATATTCTGACCAGTGAGCTCTATCTCCAGCCCCATCAATTCCTTAAAGCAAATCACAAAAACACTAACCATAAATGAAAATAACAAACTGAACTAATTGAGAGTGTGTTTAGCTGGGTGGTGGTGGCATACCCTGTCTGGGGGGAGGGGAGGGTGGGGACAGAAGACGTTTGCCACTGGGCCTACTGGCCTTTGCTTACAATCCCAGGTTGAAGCAGGAGGTGAGGGCCCTCAGAGAAGTTGTTAGGTAAATAGAGCTATAGAGTTCAGCAAAAGCATTTGATCTGGAAATGAATCATGGTAAACTGTGCCATGTAAACATTGCCTAAGAAAGGAATGTAGAATTAAGGAAACCTTGGGGTACTGTACAAAGCAGGTGGCAAAATCCTCAATTTTCTAAATCTTCAGAGAACACATCTGTATTCTCTCTCTTGGTGAGGTAGGGCATCTTCTTCTATCATTTAATTCTTTTGTTGTTGGAGTCTCTTATCCCTTTCTCTTCCAGGTATCTATCCTTGGTTTCTAAGAATCCTTTATGTTCTCTGATAATAAGCCTTTGACTGGAATATAGTGATAGATAAGATAGATATATTGATTTTGTATACACTCTTCCATTATGTGGGTTTTCGCTCTAATAATAAAAAGTAAACACATTTATGTTTGGGTTTAGTTTGGGTGTGGTGTGTGTGTTTGTTTGAGGTAAGGCCTGCCTGGGACCTTCGATGTGACTGAGTTGGTCGGCCTATCCTGTTTAATGGCACCACCCTCAGTCTCGTCCCTCAGGGATAAGAATCTAGGCAGGATTCTGTCCTTCTACTTCTCCCTCACTGAGGAAGTCTAACTGGTCACTAAAACTTATTCATTCTGCCTCCTAGATTTCTGCTTGCATCCCTTCTTCTTAATTTTCAGCCAATGGAATCCTGTCTCTTAATTAGCTACATGAACAATTATGCCTCTCATATAGTACCCTTCCAAATATGGCTTCCATACTAAATCTTTTTTTTTTTCTTTCCGAAACAGGGTTTCTCTGTGTAACTTTGGAGTC